ATCTTGAAGATTCTACTTTTTAAGGAATTTTGGAAGTATTTAGAACGTAATTTTTTCTATTATGAAGAAACTACATTTCAAGAAATTTTAGATGGTCGGAGAAAGAACCTCATTCTTTATTGAAAAGTATATTTGAACTTAAAAAGTGTTGTAAGGTTTTTGAGAAGAATCTTAATTTTTGTCAAAAATGTCACATTTCGAGTTGTTTTAAAGGTTTTTGTCACACCTTAAATTTTTCTCAAAATTGCTTAAAAGACAGGAGACTAGTAGAAAATTATTCTAAATTCAAAAGACTAAAGACCTTTCTGAAGAGTTTCTGAGGATTTTATAGTCCCTGAACTGAAAATAGCTAAAACTTGTCAAAAAATAAGGCTAATAAGATGATTATTCTAAATCTACAAGATTGAGGCTCTTTTGAGGGTTTTAACGTCTCTGACACATAGAATTGTTCAAAAAACAAAAAGTGATAAAAAATATTCCAAGTCTACAAACCTGATTGAACTCCAGATTTCCTCCAAAATTGCTTAAAAAATAGAAAGTGGTCAAAAAAATATTATAAGTCCACAAACCTAGTTGAGCTCCAGATTCCCTCCATAATTGCTCGAAAAACAGGAAATGATTAGAAAATATTTTAAGGCCACAAACCTGATTAAGCTTCGGGTATCTTCCAGAATTGCTCAAACAACAAGAATGAGTAGAGAAAATATTCGAAGTTCACGAGATCAAAAAAATCTCTTAGATTCCCAAAAATTAGTCAAAAAATAGAAATCGATAGAATAATTATTCTAAGTCCATAATGCTAAATGAGCCTCTTAGATTTTTCTCAAAACTGCTCGAAAATTGAAAAATAAAAAGAAATATTATAAGTCTATAAGAGTCATGATAGGACTCAAAAGTTATTACAAGGCTCAGAAGCGGTTACCAGCAGTTACCACCAGACGAAGGTTCAACAATACAAAGAAGGATCGTAGACAATAGCAGTTATGAAATAAACCACAACCGACAACACGATCAGAGCCAGTCGTGAATAACGGGCAGCAGTTGAAGGCAGTTGCCGATAAGTGTCTGGAAAAAAAAAAAAAAGAACGGTGGTGGTTTCCCTTACCTATAAATACGTCAAAACTTCACTTTCCAGATGATGACTTTTTATACCTTGACACCACATCTAAAATTCTCTGCACCGCACCAAACACCAACTACAAGGAAATATATAGTTGTTGTTCATTGCTAGGAGTCATACATTTATATTCCTACACATTTACATTTACATTTTTACAGTTTAATTTCAATTTATTTATTTCTTGTTCATTTTATGTTGTTAATACATTCTTGTAAAACATCTATGTTTAATTATTTCAATTTAATCCTCTACTTTACAACGTCAATTTGAACATTATATTAACAATATACTTAAAAAAACTCAAAATAACCTAAATTTAGTTTTTAGAATACTCTTAAATTTATTTGTTTGCAGTAGTAGAATAAAAATATATTAGTCAATGTAATCAAATAGTTAAAATGTTCATGACAATTTTATTTTACCTTAATTTATACCCACAAACCAATCAACAAAGTGATTAAGGACAATATCAAAAGGGAGTAAATTTATAATAAAATATCAAATTAGTTTACGTTACCGATTAATTTGGTTTTAGTTTATATTTCTTGAGTACAGAGTGCTTTGTACAGAAAATGAGGGCTCATATTTCTAAATCTATACTACATTTAGAATATATTTGGTTTGTGATTTTAACATCAACACGGGCTTGCAAATTATTCATGAACTTATTTTGTTTATAATACAGTAAAGTTGTTAAATAATTATAAAATATATTGAATATATAGTTTTAATTTTAAATTTTTAAATTTTTTAAAGTAATATTTAATTTATATCTATTAATAACTTTATCTATTTTAATGTTACACTTGTGAATATATATATATAAAAGAACTTAACATTGTCATTTTATATTAATATAATACTATGTGTTTTTTAAGTCATGAAACATAGTGTTTGTAGTGCTATTAAATAACATTATAATTTGTTATATTAATATTTTTTATTAATATTAATAGCTTATTTATCTTCAAATTAATATTAATTAACTATTTTTAAAAAATATTTTAAAATTTTTTAATATCATTTATCATATTATATATTAAATTTATATAAAATAAATTAATAAATATATTATTATTAGACTTTAATAATAATAGATTTGTAATAAATTAAATTATTCAATTTCGTAATGTTTGAAAGAGTTGTTTAATCTCATCAATAAGTGAAGCAACTCTCTCTTAAACATATTTTTTATTTTTTTATTCATCGAATATAAAGCTGTTTTTTGTTATTTAAATATCAAATTTCCACAGCAAAAGAAATAGAGAACTCTAATAATTTAGTGAAGCGTTTAACTTCATTCTTTTAATTTATACTATATAATAGAGAAGTTAATATTTTAAATCATGAAATAATCCAATAAGTCAATTCGATACTTGTAAATTATAAATTTGTAACTATTTTTCTAACATATAACTAATATATATATATATATATATCATAAATTAATAGAGTTATTTAATAAAATAAACACAATATTTTAAATTAACTTGCGAAAAATATCATAAGAAACGTTTAATTTTAACAGTAGCTTCTAATGTTTTTTCTTTTCACTCTGACTCTTTAAACATCTTATATTCACACAAAATAATGTAAATAATTTTTTTTTCAGCTTCGATTCAGCTAGTTATGAAACTTTTTCATCAAATGGTTTTAATTCAGTTATTTAATTTACAAAATAAAACATTAATGTGTGTTTAGTTATAGAAACTTGTGACTTACTTTTTTAAGTTAATGAACTATAAAAATGTTTGGTGAATAAAAAACAAACGGAGCTCGTTTTAATTTATGAAAAGTTATCTCAATAAATATTCAACATAAAAAATATATAGTTGTTGAAATAATCTGTTTTACATCATTATTACTATAATAATTAATCATTGACTAGTAAAATAAATTAATTTTTAACTAATCTAAACGCATACTTAATCTGTAAGACCATTTTCATCGTGTTTCATTATGAATTTCTTACCCAGATACTTGTAAAAAATTTAGAACCTTAAAATGTGGTATTCAATTGTTCTACACGCGACTATATATATATATATAAACATAATACCCCAATTATTGGTGGTCTAATGTTAATATAAATTAGAAATTAAACTGACTAATCATTATAAAGAAAAGCTAGATAATAAATTTATTTTTATAATATTCAAGACTTTTAGTTAATATTTATCTAAGTTAAACATTAAAATCATTTATGTTTATAAAATAAAAAATTTAATTAACTAATAATATTAATCTCAAGGCCAAATCAGTACTTCTCTCGAAAATTTCGACCCGTACAATTATATCAATAACAAAAATACAATATTGTATTTTATATAAAAATTAAAATTTATACACAAGTTTTAAAGGTAAAATTTGAAAAGGAAGGGTTGCAACTTGCAATATGAATATGTAGTTTCGAGCTTTTATGGCCCGACGTGAGAATGAAGTAGTAGTCTCTAACATGATTCAAACATTTTATTTAAGAAAAAAATTATTATTTTCCCTTTTTTGTATAATTAGTATTATTTATTGATTAAAATTAAAGTTGTAATATAATAATATTATTAAGTATAAATTATTTACTAAGATAAAATTTTAACTAATTTTTTAACACTATCAATCTGCACAAGGACACATAAAGAAAATAAAAACACTCTCAAGGATTAAACAAACCTTAGTTTTTAGATAATGAACAAGTGTAAATGAAAGGCATCACAACCAAGAAAATACGTCACAACCTGAGGATACAAAGCTTAACTAGTGAGAGAAGAGGAGTTAACAATTAGAAATAAAAAATTTGACGTATGGATTTGTTATTTATTTTTTTATCACTATGTATTAATAAATTTCTTATACAAAATACACATATATGTAAATTAAATATACCCTTGCATTAAAAAAAAAAAACCTTGAATTGCAAGAGTAACAAATTTTAATTGCATTTTAAAAAATATTTGTTAAAAATACTAAAATGTATGTTAAAATAAATAATATACTAACACTTACAAAACTTACTTTTATAAAGAGAAATATTAGTAATACATTTTTTAAATACACTTTAAGTTAATAATTAATTTTTAAAAAAATTTAAAAATTTATATGAATCTTATTTTTTACTTTTAAATTAATGTTTCTTTTTTATTAGTTTATAGTTTTAATTAATTTTAGTCAATAAATTAAAACATATTAAAAGGGCTCTGTTATATTATTTTAATAATTTATAAAGTAAATATTTAAAAAATATTTCTTTACTATTATGTTAAAAATATAAAATATTGTAAATACTTTTTTATTTAAGTATTAAAATTTTTTACATTGAAAATAATATGTTAAACTTCTACTTGCTAGTTTTTAATATATTAAAAAAAATCATTCCTCTTTTATAAATCAGTTTTACATTTTACTCTTTACAAATACTTCTACATTTCACTCATCCATTTTTATCTTGATTTTTTTAATCGAAATTTATAAATGCTAAACAAACAACAATGCAAATACTTTCGTATGATTATTGTTATTTATGTATTTTTACAGTATAGATTACGTTACTTTTAAATTACTATATATTACGTTATTAATGAAGTATTTAAGGAAATTTATATTTACATAAGATTTTTAAAAAATATAACTTATGTGATAAAAACTTTAGTTCTAACGGTAGATTTTGGAAAGAAAACATTAGCACAAAATTTACATGTTATTCTTTAGATATTATTTGTACTATTTATTAGCACACAGATTTGGTGGCCGGGCCTGTTGAGTTGTGGGGTTCTTTGGGCATGGGCCTTCGTGGATAAAAGCGATAAATTATTCTGCAAGGCAATCTACGGGCCAGGTTCACTTGAAAATTTCGGAGCCCATCAACCCAACAAAAAGAAATGAAAATTCTAGGGCTTGTTTGTGTGAGCTTCGAATTCAATGGACGACATGGCTGCATACTACTCACAGCCCCAACCGTCGGGCCTTCTCACTTACCAGTATTATCAACCGCCTCCGCCGCCGCAACCGCCCATGTTGGCGGTGGTGCCACCGCCTCCCGGCACGGCTCTCCCGGCGGTGCACCACCTGCATCCGCAGTATGTGACTCACCATCAGCAACAACCGATGTTCGCTTCTTACGCTCCTCCTCAATCATCCACCAACGAGGTTCGCACTCTCTTCGTCGCCGGTCTTCCCGAAGACGTTAAGCCCCGTGAAATCTACAATTTGTTCCGCGAATTTCCCGGTTACGAGTCGTCACATCTTCGGAGCCCCACCAATTCGTCGCAGGTACAATGGAATGCTTTTGGTTCTATTAATGTGTTCTGTAGATTTAGATCACTACTTCTCTCACATGGTTTTGTGTGTTGAATAGCCTTTTGCTTTTGCTGTGTTCTCGAGTCAGCAATCAGCAATCATGGCAATGCATGCTCTCAATGTAAGGATCGTTTAATATGTTTTATGTTATGTCCAGTGGCATCATCAAAGGCATCTTTCTTTATTGGCATTCTTGATTTTTATTGCTGTGGTTTGCAGGGGATGGTGTTTGATCTTGAAAAGGCCTCTACTCTTTATATTGATCTTGCAAAATCAAATTCTAGATCTAAGCGGACAAGGATAGGTGTGTGTTTGCATTAGCTTTTTTTACCTTTCATGAAAATTTGTAATCAAGATGTTCTTGAGGGAGATTTTGACTGATTTATTTTTTTTGTTGATTGATTGACCTTGACAAGCAGATGATGAAAGAGCTGGGTCGGATAAGAAAGCTAGAGGCCCTACACCGACATGGGCTACTCCTGATTCCGGTAAGATGGTGGGTGTTGTTAAGTTTGTTTTAGTGCATTGTTGTTGTTGATGCATATGGCTTGCGAGAACCCTCTTTCAGTTTACTATTGATATGTTATGTTTACTTGAATCAATTTATGTTCTCTTGCCTGGAGGCCAGTTAACTATTGATCACACGAAGAACACTTTAATCTATGAGCTCACATTGCACATCTTTTGCACTCTTCGGCACTAGCAGGTGTTAGCAGCATTCACATGCCTGGAATGGGTAATCCTGCTTTCAACACGAACACGTTTGGTTATCCATCTCCACAAAGGTCATCTGCACTACTTAATCACAGTTTTATTATGTGGAAGTTGGTTGCTTCTATATCTGATAAAGCACATTTTTCAACTTATGAAGTTACTTTCTACTTCTGTTGGAGAACTGTATCCATTAAAAGAAACTAACTAATGTGTTTGAAGCATCGGCAAATTTTTAGGGGATTTGTTGCCTTTCTATTTCTTGCTATCTCATCTTGGTTATTTATGTGTTTGTTTTCTGTAATAGTCTTGGCAATGCTGATGGGAGTGCTGTGAGTGACAGTCTATTTGCAAATCTGGTTAGTCTTATAAAGTACTCAACTCAATATGTCCATTTCCTATATCACCCTTTTTGTTTTTAACTGTTATGTGCTTCAATTGGTTATATCATTCTCAAAATTAAAGTGCTTTTGCTTGAAAGGTGTCTCAACTCTCTGTTCTGGCTGCCTCTAATTGAATTCAAAAGCTCTTGTTTTTTTTGTTGTCGCCATCCCCCTTGTTGGTTTGGAGACAAGATTTGCTGAAAGTGAAATTGCTCTTCTCTCTGGGTATAAATAAATAACTGAGGCAGGAGAAGCTGACTCTTTTTTTTATATTTTCATAGATCTATGGTAACAATTTACAGAGTATAACAATGTATCCATAGCCGTTATCACTATAATTGAGTCATATTCCATTATGCTTCTTTTTTCCTCTATTACACAAATAGTAGTGTTCCTATTATTCCTGTGGTATTCACATAATTTCTCCTGGATTGTTTGCACTACAACTGTGCATTAGAATGGTCCTCAGGGTAGGAAGGAATATGGTAAGCTAAAGTGCCATATTAGTTTCTATTTCGGGATTCAGCAGTTTCTAAAAGGACTTGTTGCTTCCTGAGCTAAGCACTTGGGTGGATTGGAAACTCTATCTCTTGTATTCCTATACTTCACGAGCCTCATTTTTCAGACTGTCGAAAATTGTGGTTAAACTGTATAATGTTCAGGTCCTTTAGTTCATTGATTAGGCTGTTAATCTTCAAAATTATTATGCCTAACATGATAGTGTAATTTGTTACTTTTAAAGGACACCTGATACTTATCTTTCCTGTAAGTTATACTTTGTTTCTAGACACACCTCTACCCATTTGTTTGCCATAAAAAAAATTGGGGCTCGATCATTCTTCTACAATGTTTATGTCACCATGTTTATGATGTTATTTAGTCTTTTTTTGGCTTCCCCCAAATGTTCCATTCATTTGGACGCCCCTATATTTAATTTTAAAACTGTTGCACTTTTCCTTTGAGTAACTAATTGTTTTTTATCTTGTGTGTTGACAGAAGAAGTGTTCAACACCATATGTTCCACAAAATGCAACCCCATGTGCTACTTTATTTGTTGCTAATCTTGGGCCATCTTGCAATGAACAAGAGCTAATGCAAGTATTTTCTAGGTCAGTGGACATGTACATGGGACATATTTTCTCATATTTATAAAATCTGTAGAAATTGAGTTTGATTTTGTCTTTTTATACATATATGTATCTTCCATCAGATACCCTGGATTTCTGAAATTGAAGATGCAGAGCACGTATGGAGCTCCAGTTGCATTTGTTGATTTCCAGGTTTCTTTTTGTTTTTTATTTTTAATGCTGCATATATCACAATTAAATAAATTGGAGTATTTTATCACTCAACATATTCCTTCCTGTTTGAAATTTCCATATTAATTAATTCCCTTGATGTTCTCTTTCTGTATTTTTTTAAAAAAACCAAACTAAATGTATGCAATGATGGTCACACCTAGCATGTTGTGAAAGTCATGTTTAAAGACTCTGCTCCTGTTGCTTTCCCCCTCTGATTTTTGTAAATTTTTTTGGATGTTTATTCTGAGCAGTCACAAACAATATATCTTGTAAAATCCCCACTTTACTTGGTTGCTGTATGTGCAGGATGTTACTAGTTCAACCGACGCTCTAAACAGTCTGCAAGGCACCATTCTTCACTCCTCCCAGGCTGGTGAGGGAATGCGTTTAGAGTATCCTTCGGTCTTCTTTGTTTTCTCTCATTGATTCTTTGCTAACTTCTTTTTTCTTTTGGGAGAAGGGGGGGTTGTGTCGACTTTGGTGGTCGAATCTCACTGTTCAATGTTTGGTATTGCTTAACGAGAAACTCAGATATGCTAAATCGCGGATGGGCATGCGGAAGAAGCCGAAATAACTTACATGCTAGAAAATAGATAATAAAAAAAGGTGGAAAACACTAGGAGAATCACTCATGACTCCTTCGGGTACGCTATGAATTGTTATTTGCAGGTACAATATAATGAAAGCTCGGCTGCCTTCGTCCAAAATTGGCAAAATTTAATATGGAGTATTTAAAAATACATAATTGAGCAGAAGTTAAATGCTTGCTCTTTTAACAGTTGCACATTGGTAACGTTCTCTTGTATTTATCCACTGTAAATTTATATAAATGTTACCTTTTACGCATTTTGAAAATTTTATAAATATCACTATAAATTTTAGTTTGTATTTTATATTTATTTTACTTTTGTCAGTGTAATTTATTTCGTGTAGTTTATATTTGCATATTATAGTTTATAGTTTATTTAAATTGATATAATTAATGCTATAAACCAGTCACGTCGAACCAAGGATTTGAAGGAATGCTTGAAAACATTGTGCCCCAACAAATCTAGGTAGCTCCAGGGAACAGGGAAATTGCAGGGCATATTCAGGGCACTGAGGGAATTCTTTGCTTTCACCACGTTAGCATGCCCAACAATTGTGGGATAGCTAGCTTCACCCAATTCCCAATCCTCCTTACCCTGTTAAACGATGAAAAAGGCGAGTTATTCTGTAGGGATTTTTTTTTATTATATTTCAATAAAAACTTAATAGGACTTCCGATTTATCATTCGAAACATAGAACGCGTAATACTTTAATTTAAAATAACAGCAAGAGTAGCAATTTTTTATTCCCTTTTCTTTTACGATAATAAAGAGTTATAAAGCAGCACTTAAGTTGTGTCGTTTTTCATTATCTTTCGTTTTTTTGTGTGGTCATTATCTTTCATAGAAAAAAGTTTGTGTCACGGTTCAAAGCTAGTCTAGGAGGAACGGAAATGGCAAACTAAAAAGATAAAATTTGTAGTTGTTTTATAAGTGGTGTTAGCATTCATAATCAATCAAAGTTAGAATTTTCTTTTAATAAAAAATTGTATTTAATATTATTATATATTACTGAAGTAAAGTTTAATTTTAATTGAAAAACAGTATTGACAATGTCTATAAAACCGCATATAAATTCTGTCCGAAATAGAAATCCACGGTAGTGATAAATATTGTTCAAATCATTCAAAATAACGAATGAATGAATCCCGTTATATTTTCTTCCTTTATGTTCAACTCTGGTTCAATTCATAGGGTGTGCAGTTCACAATCTTACCTTTTATATTTTTCAAATTTTGCTTTCATAGTTAATAAAACGTAATCAGGTGTTCATAGGGCAAATCGGAGAGGGTTGCGTTATTTAAAAAAATGATATTTTTTATCATATATTTTAGAAAGCATGACAAAATTTTTAAAATCATAAAACGTGCTAAAATTAAATATATCAATAATATTAAATATAAATTTTAATAATTTTTAATTTTTTAATGTGTGCTCTTAAACCCGTGTTAAAAAAATTATTTCACCACCTTACTGTTTATGAAGAAAGCCAAATCAAGTCGCAATCATTAGAAATATTAAAGTTAATTGAATTTGATTTCTCTCAATAAATCATAACTGCTAGTAAATTTAAGCGCTAAAATAATGAACGCATAAAGATATATATAAATTTATTGAGGTTATCCAAAAAATTAATTTATTATTTTTCATACCTAAAGTTATAACTACATTCTTACATTGGAGACGTCAAAGCAAGTAACAATGTAATATTCATTTTCCGTACTAGAAACAATGTAATAGTCTAACACTACGTAAGTACAATTTCACAAAAAAATAAAGTCAACCCTTAATGCGATCATTAACTTCATCCTCTAAAAAATGATAAACATTAAAATATTAGTTAAGAAATTAAAAATATTATTAATGTATTTTTAGAAACTTTGACATATAATCAATAATATTTTATTTAATAATCCACTAATTAATACTATTAAGATGGTAACCAGCTAGGAAAAAGAAATTACCCTGCGAATTTTCACCGACATTTGACTTTTCCTTCAATGATGGAACAACTGCATTAAACTCTGATGCAGCGATGGTCATAACTAGCTCATTATTTTCTTTTGTATTGAATCAGTTCCAACATTTTCCGACACGTTTACAATTTCTTCCAACTTCCGGTTCTTGTTGCTAAGTGATCTCGCAGGTGCATGCATAATTCATATTTGTTTGTTATTCTTGTGAACCATCGAAAAAGTCTAAACACGCCTCTATTTACTGGATAGCTACTGCTATTACCATATAAAATTATATGTTCTCACGTTTTCATGAAAACAATATTCACACTAAATGAAGTTGGCTTCTTTCAGAAAACTATGGATTTAATATCAAATATATTATCAACCCTTTATCATTGACTATCACCGGCATTAACACTGTGCTATCAAGTAATGTCTCCAATAAATTAATTCTTTTTTAAAAAAAGATAATTAGTATTTTTATTTTGTTTCTTAATTTTTTGTTTGACTTTTTCATGTTTTGTTTTAAATCTCACATTAGTCTTTTTTGTTATAATAATTATGTAAAATCTAATTGCAAACTGTATTTTTCTTTTCATGAAATAATAAACTGAGTAATTTTGAGTCGCCTAATTCTTCATGTATATAGGGCACAATATATATATACGGATGAATGTTGCATGTTAATGATGCATAATTAAAGAAACTTGGTTAATCATTAACAAAATATAAAAAAATTCTGTTCGAAGCAAAATAAATTGTAAAGAACAATACAATTTGATATTTAATTTTCAAAAGAACTTTTTAATCAATTTTAACAGTCGTTCAAAGAATACAATAAAAAATTTATGAAATTATTCTTAATCGCCACGATTTGATATGTTATTTTAAATAATTAAATCATTTAAAATTTGATATGTTGATTGTAATACAATATATAGAATAATTTTTAAATGATTTTTGTAATACTGAAAAACCCAATATCTTAACTTAATTTTGTTGGAATTTAATATTATTATAATAAAAAATAACTTAAATAAATAAGTTAAATGCTTAAATAAAAAATACATGCATTTATTATATGAAAAATATGAGATGAAATTAATATTCTATATTAATTTAAAAATTACAAAGTTTTATAGATGTAAAAAATAGAAAAATTTAATATTATTCATATAAAAGAAAAATACACTACAGTGAACAATCTTTAGTGAAAGTTACAAATGATTACTCAAAAGGCTTTCCAAATCTCCTCCATTTTTAAAGGAAGAATTTGTGATGATATTGCTTATTTGATTTTTCAATTACTTGTATTGAAGACATTATTTGACCTCATTTTTTCACTTAGCATAACTTCCTAAGCACAATTAGATTCAATTATATATAAATATATTAAATAACATAAAAATAAAAAGCATTAAAAAAGAAGAATAAATCACAATTATTAAAAAAATTTAAATAATTAAGACAAAAATTTAAAGAGATATGATATTTAAAAAAAATTACTTAATTTTTAAAATATGATATAATTGTTTATAATATTTAGTTTTAATAATTTATTAGGTACTTGGTGTTGAAAACATTTGTATACAGTGTTTCTTGTGAATCTAATTACCCTTGTATCCTTCATCAATTTCCTATTCAATCATTGATACTATCATACTAACGTTTTCAATTCTCAATAATGTCGTGTTATGTACACAAACATTGCTTAAAAGCGTTATAACCAAAATCCCCAAGTTACATTTTCCTTTCACATTTTTTCCCCTTTCTCTTTCTTCTTTTAGGAAAACAAAAAGATTTAGAAAAGTTAGTCCTTTTCTTTATTATTGTTGGCGCGCTTTTATCTACACACCATTTTGTTTGCATTTAGCAAGGAAATCATTAATAAAATACAATCCATATAAGGAAATTATATTAATATTTTTTTAGATTTTTTTTTTCATTTGTTGGGATAGATATAAGAAAGTGACATCAACAAGAAAAGGAGTATGAACATCAAAACAGCTTAAGGTTATTTGCATTAATTATTATAATATTTTTTAAAAAATTAATGTATCAATAATATGAAATAAATATTTATTATTTTTTATGCATAGTTAGTCATATATTAGAAAAACTAACTTATTATACGCTAATTTTTTTATTTTGATTTATTGGATGCATTTTTTTTGTGCTAAATAATATCTTTTCGTTTTAAAATAATAATACTAATGCACTTTTTAGTATATTTTTTATTATTTACTAAAATTTATTAAAATTACAAAAATTATATTTATATCTCGTATTTTTTTAATTTTTAATAAATTTTAACAATTAATAAGAAGTGTATTAAAAAGTATTTGGCCAGCGATTATTCTTCGACTATAATTACATCAATTAATACATACGTGGGTGTGGGGAGAGATTACCCATTCATTCACAGCTAAATTAATCTGTTAATTAATTAAGTTTTTAATTTCTGAATCATTGATACAACCATAACATATGCATCCATAGACCACGAACAGTGCTAGGAAAAAAAAAAAACTTTCGTGGAATATTATAGTAAAATAATTGTAATGTGCCTTTTATTCATGTCCGCTGTCCATGCTAAATTATTATCTCAGATGAGTTGTATTCTAACAAATAAATTAGCATATATTGATACCACAAAGTAGTTTTACACTAATACTTTTTTAAAATTTAATATATCGTTATTATTTTTTATTAATTTTAATCATCATAAAATTTGTTTTCTTACATTTTCACTAAATGATAAATATTTAAAAAAAAATAAATTTATTAAAACGAAATTAATAAACAAATGAAAGTAAAATTTCAATTATACTTATAAAAAAACATTTAAACCTTTAAGATGTTTTTAAAGGGACTGCATATATCAAATAATCTGTTAGTAGTTTAATTTCAGAATAAAAAGAGTCGCAATGACAAATCCGATTGAGGAAAGACGTTGACAAATTGTATTTTTATTTAATAAAATAAAATAGGAATATTTTACTCCTAAAAATAATAAGATTTTGTTAATAATTAAAGTGTAAACAAACAAATTATTAATAGGCAATTAAGCCGCCCATTAATATAATTAGCAGGGCACCAACTTAACATCGTGGGCCATTAAATTTCTAATATGCCGAAAATGCCCTTTGCAATGCGCATGACAACGAAAGTTTTAGAAGGATAAAATGGGACATCCGACACTATCGTCATTGCGTGGAGGGAAAGTCAATTGCTAACGGTATCTATCCACCGACCACCGACCTACCCCTCTGCCCACTCAGAATTATTAAAAATATCAGATAATAATGAAAATGAAACAAATTAATATATATACCAATTAAATAATCATTTTCTTTTATTTATTTATTTATTTATTAATTACCCTTTGAATTTCATTAACCTGCAAAAGACAACAACCCACCCATAACATTACCGATCAGGCGCTCACCACCATACACCTGACACCATCAACGTGTATTAAAATGTAATTTCAATGAAAATTATGTTTTAAATAAAATAAATATCGTGTTTATTTTTTTAAATTGTAGTAAATTTTAATATGAAGATTTTCATCTTAATGCTAAATCAATATTTTTCACTTTTAATTTAATAATTTTTTTAGTAAAAAAAGAGTACAAGACAATAGACAATAATAACAATTTTATTATTATTATTATAAAACCACGTTTGATTGCTTTAAATGTGGATTTGAGGTCCTTCATCGTTTATCCAAGGACAGGCTATTATTGTGCCACTAACACACAACTAGTTATGGTCGAATAGAATCATGTCTTCTGTTTTTTTTTTTAAATAGCTATGTTTTGTTCTCATAAGCTTTTATACAGCGACAGTATATAATATATGCATGAAATACAATTCCACGGTTATCGAAATTCATTCGACCGTAAACTTAAATAAGGATCTCTTAAAATACGTTTATGAGTTATGACCCAAAAACTATGCACGAAAAACTACATAAACATAAACCATGTCCTAAAACAATAAACTCTTTAAAGACAATAATTAAAATATTTAGTGTATTCTGTTAAATATTATATATAAACATTAAATATTTTAAATTTTATTAAATGTATTTAACTGGTATATCTTTAATTAATATTTTTAAACATAATGTAGATTAATGTTAGGAGTAGGAGATTGAGAATATTATATTGTTAGCATGTATTGAAAGATTTAGTTGAAAATGGTGGTTATTTATTATACATAAAGAAAAAACACTTGCATGAGCTAGAAATGTCATAAAACATTCTTTTCGTAGTTTGAATCTTTTCACAACTGTGTAGTTTTGTATACTTTATAGATATAGATATTGATATTGACGAATAATACATACAATTTTACGTATTAAAAACGAATTTTGTTGTTGTTGTTGATAATTTTCAAACAATTTAAAATTTTAGAGAAACGTGGCATAAAAAATCTGAAGGGAGAAAAGATGCACTCTTGATGAGAAGAGTCTGACTTGGAGAAGCTGTGTCTTAATGGGGGCGGTTTAGAATTAGAATTAGAATTAGAAATATGAAGCGACCAAATGAAAGGGAAAGGGAAGGGAAAAATAAAAAAAGGTGGGGAGAGTGATTTTGTCGGTGAATTAATAAATAAAACGAAAAAAGGAAAAAAAAGAAGGGATTAATATTATGTTGTTGGTAATAAAAAAGAAATATAAAAGGGGGAAGAGTGGATTTGAAAGGCGAAGATACCAACGTGGAGGCTTACACAGATGACAAGCTTAAGATTAGTGGAAGAGTCGAATGAAGGTCTCTCCAAAACCATAACCCTTCTTCAGCTACCGTGTCTTTTACTCGTTAGATTTTTCAATCTTCATAAAGATTCACTCTCTCTCTCTCTTTGATTTCGATTTGACACACACATACAATACCAACAACAACAAGAACAAACCTTTTAAGAGAGAGATGGACGGTGAAGGAGGAGAGAGAGAGAGAAACATGGGAACGAAGAAGAGAGGGGTGATAGAAGGAGAGAGAAGATACAAAGGAATAAGGATGAGAAAGTGGGGAAAGTGGGTCGCTGAAATTAGGGAACCCAATAAGCGTTCAAGGATTTGGCTTGGTTCTTATTCAACCCCTGTCGCCGCCGCACGTGCCTATGACACCGCCGTTTTCTATCTCCGGGGACCCTCTGCGCGCCTAAACTTCCCGGAGCTTCTCGCCGGGGAAGGGCACGCCGTTGTTGCTGGATGTGACATGTCTGCGGCTTCTATTAGGAAGAAAGCCACCGAGGTCGGTGCTAGAGTCGATGCTCTCCAAGCAACCCTTCACCACCATCACCACCACCACCCACGTGTGGCGCCGCCGCCGGCCCTTCTCTCCGGCGGTGGTGGGAGTTCCGGGGATTTCGCGGAGCGGGTTGACTTGAATAAGGTACCCGAACCCGAGAGTTCGGACTGCGAGTGGGACATGAATTGAAGAAAAAGGAAACGGTGCTTCTTTTTTCGTTCCGGTGGGTGCTAACATGCGCCGTGGAGGTTGTGTGACGGCTGAAGCAAAGTGATCTTGTTGATGAGGCCTTTGGTGGTGGGGATTATTGTACTCTATCTTTTCCTTCCACTTTTTCTTCGGTAGTTTTTTTTTTTCCTTTTCCTTTCTAATTTTTAGATTTTACAAAAGAAATTTTGGCGTTGTAAAAATGTTAAATGTAAATTAACTAGTCGCTAGCCTTTTTTTCCTCTTAGTTCTCTATCTCTGGAATGGTTTTACTTTTACCTTCGAAATTCTTAGCTTATGTTCTGTCCTCTTGAATCTGATGTTTTTCAAATTTTTTTGAGAAAAAAAGAACTTTATAGCTTTTCATTTTTTTGTGTCTTGGAAAGAAATTCGGTGGAAATTAGGAATTTTTGGAATGAAAGTGAACGTGGGGTTTAGTATAAGTGAGGTTAGAAAATGAGAATAGAATGTAGCAGTGAAGTGAAATGGGTGGACGGAGGGGACAGCAATGGCCTACGGTGCCCAGCCGTTGGGTACAAAAGGAGAGAGGGAGCCATGCTAACCACTAAAGTAATAATAACTACTAAAAAGTGATAAGATTGAGAGTTAGGTATTTTTCTGGTTCTACACTGTGTTCTGATTGTTGAATTGTGAAGGGAAAATGGAAGGGCCAGTGGGAAGGGAAAATGTTGTGGCCACTGCTCTGTTTTGACAACGATGGATGATGGGGTCGGTTAATCGGTTTTGTCGTCTCAGATTTTTATTTTTTCTTCTTATGCTAGTCAAATCTCAGACAACAATTGCATCGAAAAAAAAATATAAACTAAAAACAAAGTTGAAAAAGAAAAGAAAATGAGAGAAAGAGATGTCTCCATGTGAAAGCAAAATTACAGCTCCTCAATTGATTAACAAATATCTTTGGAGGGGATTTCTGATATGAGTCTGAGCTGTACCCCATATTTGGTTCGCTAGGATCTATGAGGCCCTTTTAAGTTGTGGCCATGGGTTAGTCCATGATTAGCGGAGAATTAGAGATTTTTAACCTTATTCAAGGTTTTTAGCTGTGGTGCTGTGGATTACATCGTGCTTGACGTAAGTGTGCAATTAATTACTAATTTATAAAAAAGTTAATCTCCCTGATTAAAGATATGGGGTCTTGTTAACCAGTTTCGACATTAGTTAAGATTTGCCTCAAAAGATATAAGTTTCATCAGTGATTGAATCGGCTAAAAGAGAAAAAATTACATAAAGGCAAGGATTGGGTAAAAGACAAACGTAGAATTGGGAGAGCAAAGAAGACAACGTCCTCAAGCTCGTTTCTTTAGGAGTTTGTTTTTTGCTAAACTGAAAGCGCACCAAATAACGTGGAGACTAGCTATAGGGTAAAATAATGGCCAAATTGACCAATGATATCAACATAAACAAACGTAGAATTTTCAAGGGTGATGAATCGGGAAACTTATCAACACTAGCAAATGAAATTAAGTCCTCTCAAATGATGAAAGAAAAGCAGGTCCCAACCTGTTACCTTCAATCGTTCTACTCAACATCTAGTCATAAATTTAATTACACTGATAGACCAAGACCAGTCATTGCTTCAGCTCAACCACTAACTGATTTAAAATGTTGTAGTCAGTATATAGTGGTGGAGGTAGATTAATGCCGGTTGAAATATGAGTCTACAATATCTTTAAGTCTTCAACAAATGATTAATGCTGCGAATTCACAGCATTTTCAACATCATCGTCAGCAAGCGACCCTTATAAATTACGATGAGAGCATTAAGAATAATCGCCTTATCAAAATATTGTCAATGACAAATTTGGTGTAAAACAATATAAGATATACATGCCTAAGCTAAAAATTTTAATTCTATTTCAGGCAAGCTTCTGTAAACACTTCAATCGAGTTACTGCGTGAAATCCAGCAACATTTTTTCGGATGATCTTCTAAACCATATCATGTTTTCTTTTGGTTCTCTCGTTTGATTTGAAGTGCTGCTCTCACAACATTCCCTCTTGTGATAATCCCGACCTTCAGATCATTAATAATCACCCTTGAGAAACATTAAAAAGATAAAAAAAATAACAAATTGGAAGTGTCATACCAGTCTACCCTCCGCATCTACAACTGGGAGGCGTCGAAATTTGGTTTCTAGCAACAACCTAAAAATAGACATATTGAAAAGACCGTCTTCTTTATTGGCACTTTCACAACTAAAACAAGACTAAAAAGGAAAAGTGCAGGGGGATGTATTCAATAGAGAAAAAGTTAAACGATAGAAGAACCTTGCAGCATCTTCGAGATTGGTGGTCTCCCGAACGACCATAGGGGCAGTGGTCATTAATTCCCCAATCAACTTTCCATTTGTCTTACTCAGCAGTTTCTGAACCTCATTGAAAGTCTGCAAGACCCCATAATTTTAACAAAATCCAGCTCTAATAAACAAGACGATTGTGGTATTAACTAGTAATTTGAAATGCAACACGTAATGCAAAGCATCTAGTTTAATGCAGACATTACCATTTGTCAAACATGAACACACACAGTCAGATCAGACACACACACGCGCACTCACGAACTACAATTGAAAATACCCATGGACATATCCACTTGAAAATATGCAGGTAGAAATGCCCAAACAAACTTTGTATATGGTAGTGATGTATTATTTTTGCTTTTCCAATCCAAGCTAGCTCTCTAAGGTCTGACTACCAAAATATCTGCTTAGTAAGCTCAACTTGTTTGGTAATCTTAAGTATTAACAACATAGAGTTGTGTTACCATGCTGTGGATTTGCATCAAAGTCCAGAAATATTAGAGTATGATGAAGAAAATGAATTAAATATCAGAGAATGAAATATTGACTTACTTTCCAAGAACTGTCAACTTCTGGAAACATGCTGTTATCTGTTCGCCCATGACCTGAAACCAGCGTTGCACTTTTAAGCTACAGGGCCCTAACTTGGGAATAGAAACACATTACAACAACCAAACCTTTCTCCTCTCAAGTGAGGTCAACTAGATGGACTAAAGGACACCATAAAGTCTTACGTAAATCATTTCTATAGATAAATTATTAACCGTTAGATTCTCCTTAAATAGTCAACTATAATTTTTCCTCAGTATCCCTTCACCCCTAGCAATTGTGCTACTCTCCATCTGATCTACACTCCTTACTAGGGCTACAACAAGTCTTCTCTACACATGTTCAAACCACCTAAGACAAGTTTCTTCAATAGATGATATCCCAACATTTTTTTGAATGCATTCATTTTCATGTTAACCATGTCCACTGATCCAACATGACATTTTCATCTTAGCTACATTGAGCTTATTCTCTTGTTAGCTTTTGATCTCCCAACATTTAGTTCCATACATCATTGCAAGCCTTACAGTTGCACATAAAAAATTATCCTTTAAGCTGAAGTGACACCTTTTTATCAGAGATAATTGAAACACATGGAAGATGCTAAAAAATTATTTGCATGTTATCCTCGGAAAATGTGAATACTGTTATTATTAAGCTTTGAATAAGGTGAAAATCAAGCTTCTAACAAATATTAAAGGGGTGTGTGTGTGTATATATATGCAAATTTTAATCAATTTACCTGATATAGAGTCCAGTGCTAACAAGTCGTAGTCTGAAATAACACCAACCTGCAGAGAATTAAAGAATTTTATTTGTTAAAAATTCAAAGGCAAATAACTAGGTTAGTGTTTTGACAACAATGGAGATGGTTTAGAGAGCACTGGAATTCTGTGAATAGAAATTGTTACCACTAGATCGCAAGGTAGCAACCTTACGAAGATGTCAAGGCCTAGTCTAAAATAATCAGAATTTAATTTTTCTAAAGGTAAATTAATTGTTTAATGACATTTATATAAGTCACCATATTTCTTTTATGACATGTCAAACAAACATTCAAAGGTTCAAACAATGCATTTTAAAATTTTTGACACAATGAAAATGGAAAAGTACAAGAGATTTAATCAATGATTATAGTGCAAACATACATATAAACAAATTTAAGAGAAAAAAATGAAGATTGATAAGAATACTCACTAGTTTCCAGTTATCATCAATCACAGGAAAACCAGTTATCCTGTGTTCAACAAGAGTTTCCAAGGCTGTTGCAAAATAACATGTCAAATAATTAAAATGAAAAATCCCCCCTTCCTTTCACGTAATAAAAAACAGAAAAGAAGACAGAACATTTTTGCCACGAAATGAGACATAAAATATACCTTCGTCCACAGATGTCGTTGGCTTCACCACATATAAATCCTCTTTCTTTGTCATAAAGTCACCAACAGTGTATACTCCACTTCTTGGCTGCATATAATGTGAAAACACATGCCCAGGTCAAAATTTGGTCACTACATTTATATATTTCTCATATTGAGACTTCATCAATAGTGAATCAAAGAGGCAGATATAAATAAACCTAGTTCTCTGACTGTCTTTCATTAAGGTGTTGAAGCATGAAACTAGATTATAAATAGGCCCATCAACTACACCGGGGAAGGAAGCGTTTAAAGAGTTAAAAATAGCATTCAAAAAAAGATTGTTCGTTCGGATCAGGAGAAGCAATTCTCTCTCAACCCTCAATATTATTCCCAATTCCCAGAGGAAGGAGTTGCTGACAGAGTGCAGTTCAGCCTTTCAATCATTTTCTCACACACACGAGATAATCACAAGCCATAGTATAATAACAATTTTTTTTATTGTGTGCCATTATACACATAATAATAAATTAATAAATCGTAAATTTTTATTAAAAATTATAGCATTTATTATTATCCGTCCATTAAATTATATATTATACTTAAAATTTACTGTACTTAGATTCTTAAAATGTGCACTTAACATACATTTAAAAACAAATATAATAAAACTTGTTTATAATCACAATGTTTTCAGAAAATGCAACTAAAGCAAGTCAGCGTAAAAAAGGTTAACAGCGAATCGAATCTTTAATATTTACATATTTCAATTAGTGAAACCTAACGGTGCAACAGTTTCCTAATTTATGAACTATAACCAACCAAGCAGGTACACGAAACTCAACCAAACGCTGCGCACAGTACAGAACAGAACAGATAATAATATGGTATGCTTCAAAATACAGGAATTGAGATACATACAGAGACAGGGTTAGCGGTGAGGGTGTTGGTAGCGAGAAGCGGCGAGGCGCGAAGTCTTGGAAGAGGAGTGGAGCGGTGGAAAGAAGCGGAGGCCAGAGGGCGGCGAAGAGAGCGGTGAGTGACGGAGGGAAGAGTAGGGAGAAGGAGGGTGTCGAGATGGAAAAGAACCGACTCCATGAGATTGGAGTTTGGTTTCAATTGGATTGGTTTGGATTGGATTGGACTCGGCACCAACCCAAGGTTTCAGGGTTTTTGGGTTCAGACTTGAGAGTTCGCACTCTAATCAGTAGATATCGTTCCCCGCCACAGACAGAGACAGCCACCGATTTCTTTTCTTAACTGTCTAAATATCAAAATGCTTTCTTCCTCAATTTCCTTTCCTTTTTTTTCCCCTTTCCTCCCAATTTTATTTTTAAATATCCTTAAATATCTCATAAATGTTTTGGCTTGATTTGCATGTGCTATGACAAAATGGTCATTCGTTAAAATTCGATTTTTCTAATTAAGGAATAAGACATTTCCAGATATCCAATCCTATTGTAATAAAATAAATTTATTTTTTAATCCTATTCGGACAATATACTAAACTAAGGCGGTTATATTTTCAGAACTTAGACCAATAAAATAGAGTTTATAGAGAGTGAAATTGTAGTAACAAATGTTTCATTTTTAAAATATAGTGATTTTTTTTTTTAATTTTAAAGACTTTTTTTTAAATTCACTTAAAATTTTAAAATTATAAATCTTATACTTTAAATATTCTTTAATATAATTGCTATTTTTTAAAAAAAATTATATAATATATGAGATACTAATAATATATTTTATTCTTTTAATATTACTTTACAATTTGTGGCCTTTTTATCATTAATTGATTTAATATCATGTAAATTTGTTTTTATTGGTCAACTGTGCAATGCAACCTCAAAACAAAGGCCCAGTGCCCAAAACAAAATGGAGCGGCAAAGGCCATGGAAGCTATAAAGCAGCCCAAAGAAGCTGAAAACGAAACGAAGTCCAGGGCTAGCTCCGCAGCCGAAACAAACAGACAAAACAAGAGAATATGTGATTTTATGACTTCATCTGACTTTTGCTTAGTTATGTTTCAGATTTTAAGGTTGTTAAATTTGTTTAGCTTGAGGGTGCGTGATCTTTCTATATTTACTCATTGCGCACCGTTGGAATACTCTTGTTAACATCCTTTGTAAGTGTTATACATTTCTCATATATCAACCTTGGCCAAAACAAGAGAATGCAAAAGCCCAGACTTCAGGCTCCAAAAACAGTAAAACACTATCCACAGTCCATTTCAAGTTGGGAAGTTGGGCCAATGTCAGATTGAGGAGCCCAGAAAAGCAACCCAACTCAAGTGGACCATTGTAAAGGAATATTAAAGCGGAACCATGTAGGCATTGTTCCCAGAGGTGGATAGTATATTAGCATTTTCAGTTATAAAAAGATAAAGACTACTTGTTTGGGAACTTTGGGGAATTGTATGTTTCCACACACATCTACGTTACAAATTAAAATTACGTAATGACTTTATTTGCTGACCAATTGAACATGTAAAATTTACTAACGGTCTTCTGCAGCTTGTAAGATCAATGTATTTCCCACCTTTAGGAGAATGCTGTCAAAAGCAATAGGTATGCTTCTATTATGGAAACTTATTATTGAACAGAAAAAAAGAAAAAGTAAATATGTGATAGAAAAGCAAGAGAGAAATAGAAAAGAAGAAATGAAAAATATTTGAAAGAAAAGGTAGACTATCATAGATGCATTTTGTGTATGGATCCATAATTAAGGTTGAAAAAATGACTGCAGAGTGTGCAGTCGCATTTTTTACTGTTCATTCTCTTTAATTACATTTTTTTACTAATATTTTATATTTTAAAAAATATACATCAACAATTGAGATTGATTGATGACTGAAGAGAAAAATAACTGTAGAGGAGCCAGGTACAACTCATTTCTTCCTAACAAACTAGTTGGCAACTTGATCAATCAATCAATCTTTTGTCGCTATCCAACAATTTTGTTTATATCCCCACCCATATGAATTGGTACAATTTGTTTATATCCCTATCCAAGATTTTTCCATTTTGTTCATATCCTCACCTATAAACAATTTTGTTCCTATCCAACAAATGTGTAGTGAATGAAAACCCTGCTCTTTTAAGTGGAAATCACGGGCTCTCTCCCACGCAACGCTTATTCATAGCGGTTGCAAGAAATCGAAGTGCTTTAGCAAAGTAAAGTCCAAAAGCCACTCCTTAGAAAAGTGCTTGGGCGACAACTAAACACTATATTCAAATATTGTGCTACAAATTGATGGCTCTTGCAACAAGTTGCATTAAGCACGTGTTGGTAACCCTTATCAACCGGCTTTGCTTGTACAGGGTCCCTCCCTAGAAAGCACATGCAATCAAGAAAAATAACAAATTTTAGGACATGAAACAATATAATAATGCAAATCTTACAATAAAATAGAAAATTAATGGTTTTAAAATAAGCATAAGTGGTTATAAATTCTGTTTATTCAATTATTATGATATTTTCGTCTTTGTTATTATGAAAATTGAAGTTTCCAATATAAATTCGAGTATTATTTTGAAGTATCCGTACTTCTTAATGTATGTTTTTTACCAATAATACCTTCTGGTAAGTCACGAAAATAAAATTAGAATTTTAAGAATATGTTTTTATTAAATATAATAAAATTAAACGCTATTTAAAAAATACTTAATTATTGGACATAACATTTAATAACAAAAAAAAATAAAAATCGATGGCATGATTCATTGTATCGACCGCTGTGGAGTAGACAAGGTGGTACGCATCGCGAAGAAGCTGTTCAGTTCAGGTTTCAAACTTTCAATCTTTTGCATTAGTTAGAGGAAGCTTTCCCAAAGAAGGCCTCAACTAAGCACAACATCTTAACTCCCTCCTCTGTCCGAGGTGGGGTTAATGTCACAGACACTGTAACTCTCAAGCTGCAATAATTTAAGGGGACCTACCCTTAATCATGAACATGATATCGTCAAAGACTCACAGTGCCATATTTTACTTATTATTACTGGATATACATCAAGATTAAAAAACAACGCTGAAGAGGTCTACGTTTAGGAGTTAAAAATGATTTACATAAAAATCACATTTCTGTGGTCATGAATGCTGGTGACAGTGTCTATTTTCGAAGTTTTATTTCTACAATTATTTTTATAACTAAGAAAAATATAAGATAAAAAAAAGAACGTGAACAAAATGTATAAAAAAGTATAGTAAAAATAGTATAAAAATAATACAACTTGCGTATCTTCATGTTACTGAAAGGAAGAATGATTCTATCTAGCCAGCATCGGGACCCCCATCTCATCTTAGTTGTGAGGAACAGTGTCTACTTCCTCGTTTTAAACGAAGCCAATCATAACTTACTAGGATGTCATAAAAAAAAGGAAAGAAAACTAAGGCAATTATGGCAAATAGGATTTCAATTTTCATCTGAAAATTAGTCATCAATGCAGAGCCATGTGAAAGAAGACTCGCCAACAAAAATGTGCTTCCTAGCATATCATTTGCGTTCGATGTTTCCCGGGAAGGGTTCCTTTTCCTTCACTTTTGTTTTCATACGCATTAAAATTTAAGAAAGTTGATAAAACAAAAAATTAATAACAGATATATAAACAAGCAACCTCTAAATTGTGACAACTTCGGGTTTTTCTTTCTTTAATGGGAGATGGTACAAATACAATCCCATGTGACGGTGTGAATTGAGAAGTGCGGTTCTTTCAAAAAATAAAAAAATAAAATAAAAATAACTGTGATGAACTGGGAACATTTCCTTGTTTCTCCTCCACTGGTGGGCTTAAAATATCTTTGGGTTTGAGGTTTTACTTCTAATCCGTTAGCCCAGAAAAATCCTTGTACTTGAGTTGGCCCACATAATTTGATGCTTATTACTAAACACGCCACATTTTAAACAAGTTACTAAACACGATATAAAGAGATTTATAAATAATAAATATAAAAGTTTAAATATTAAAAAATATAAATTATCTTTAGTCATTTTAAACAAGTTATTTAACATAAAAATTATTTAATTAAAATTCTCAAAATAAATAGAAAATTTGAATTACTTTTTCTAAACACGTCTTCAAAAGGTAACCCGGAGGAAAAATGATAATGCAGGATTATTACTTCTCACTGCAGCAAGGGAATCCGAGCGTTCTAATTATTAAGGGTATATTTAAAATTAATAAAATACAAATTAAAAAGAGGTGCAAAAAATGAAAACAGCAAGTGTAAATAGTAACCCCTAAGTTGATGGATCCTAATAATGTGCACCAAGCATATATGAAACCTGACAAAAAAAAATATTTTTTAATTATAAAAATAAATAAAAGTGTTTTTAGTTCCTCAAATACATTTTTTTTAGGTTGATTTTTATTTTTTCATTTTACTTTCTAAATTTTTAAACAATACTAATCATACTCCCTAATAATTATTGAACAGTGACGTGTATGAAAAATATATATAGCGTCAAATATTTTAAGATAAGTTCTGCATTTTTAGGAGTAATATGTAACATGAATAATAAATTTTTAATAGACACGTGTTACTATCGTGATCTGCACAATTTCAAGTGTTATTATTTATCAATTTAAATATTTATCGCATATTTTTTCAATGTTTTTTTTAACAATTAATTATTGATATTTTTTATTAATTATAAAAAATACGTTCTGTTTTTATATTATTATTTATTATAAAATTTATGTTTATAAAAGTCAAAATGTTAATTTATATCATTTATATATATTAAGTTATTAATTTAAATATTTAATATTATAAATATTGATGAAATATAATATATATTTTTTATTATTTATTTTTATGAATTAGTTAATTTTTTATAAATAAAAAACTTCTAAGGGATTATTGTAATATTGTACTTAGCTAACAATTCCTTTGATAAAAAAGGTTACTGAAATTGGAATATTGTATTGCTAGGTTGGAGCATATCGAGACACACGAGGTCAATGAAGCTTTTTTTTTTTTCGTTCTTTATTTTTTTAATGCTTATTTTTCTAAATTACAGAAATATAAAATTTTTGAAAAAATTATAGAAATATTAGTTTTTTTAAAAAAAACACCGGTAACGACTTTCGATCAATAAAACCTTTAAGATATTTTATCATTATTTTAAAAATCATTATTGACAAGTTTTGAAATTTTTTAATTCTTTAATTTTTTTATTTTAATATATATTAAATTTTTATAACATGTTTATAATTGTTTAAATTATATAAAGTTTACTATATATAATCATAGAAAATATATAAATTTAATATTTATAA